CTGAAAAAAAAAACACACACACTATGAATATCAACCCAGAATGACCACTACCAAGCCATATTGGGAAGGGACAGGAAGGAAAAATTGCTTGGGCATATAGAAAAAGAACAAGTGAATTATAAGGGAAGGAAAGTTAGATTGCCATTAGTTTTTTTCCACAGCAATGCTTTTTCCCAGAAGGAAACGTTGTAACATATTTAAGGTACACAAAGAAAGAAGGAGCCAAGGATTTGATATCCAGTAAAGCTTGTTTTCAAGTACAAAAGGCACAAACTTATCAACATACAAGGACACAAGAAATATTATTCCCAAGAACGCTTCCTGAGGAATGAGCTTCAGACAACCAAGATGACTAGGGCGACTTTGACATAGGATACTTTGCCTGTGGGCCAAAGATGACATAAGGGTCAAGAAACTATTTGTCTAAACAATTAGACAAAGTACAACTATTAATAACTGGGGGAAAGAGCAGATGCAAAATATATGCACAGATATGTGTGTGTGTCTACACACATTTATCTTTTTCAAGCTCTGTCCACTTTAAGGACTAGAAACAGAAGATTGATCCAGTATGAGCATCCCTAACACCACATATGATTTTAAAATATAATTTCTCAATAAAAAAACCTTATTAGACAAATGGTAGATTCCAGGCATGACACAGGAAGTATACAGGGCAAGCTAGAACATCTTGTCATACCAGAGAGCAAGGAAGCTATTGATCACTACTTGGGTCATGTTAAAAGGACTCAGGAGCCACCTTGAAGAGGCTTCCACTGACCAAATATGTGATCATTTGAGCTTCAGTAATGATAATAAATGTAATGTATTTAAACCCATAAGTATATCTAAATCCATAAGTTTTTTTTTTTTAAGATTTTATTTATTGGACAGAGAGAGAGAGCACAAGCAGGGGGAGCAGCAGAGAGGGAGAGGGGGAAGCAGGCTCCCCACTGAGCAGAGAGCCCAACGTGGGGTTTGATCCCAGGACCCTGAGATCATGACCTGAGCCAAAGGCAGGCGCTTAACCGACTGAGCCACCCAGGTGCCCTAAATCCATGAGTTCTTAAATTATTTTGTAAAAAAGGTATTAGTCACCTCTGAAGTACTAGTTCCTGAGAATTAGCAAATAAAGGGAAAGAATCAAGCATTTATCCTTCTCTCTCTACATGAGCTTTACCACTGATTAATCAACAGTAAATGAAGTATCTCTTCATAAATGTATTCTAACTAATAAATGGGAAAGAAATTATAGAGTAAGAATAGCCTCAGTTTGGGGCGCCAATTTGGGGTTGCCAATTTTTAAGAAATAAGAGGACAGGGCAACATGTTGTACAGCACTAAGAGGCTGCCATCAGCCAAATCCAGACTTGGAGAAACTCTAAAGGTCAAATGGCCTGGATTCTTCCACATAAATTTAAAGACAAAGAAAGGGATGGAGAGGAATTTTATAAGTTAGAAGAAACTTAAAGGTAATCAAATTTTAAAAATGAGCAAGACTAAACTATAGTGCTAAGGATGCACATAGGCAGAATAACACTATAACAATGAAGCAAAGTGATTACAATAAAAAGTCAGGATATGATATGATCTCACTGATACGAGAAATCTGAGAAACAAGGCATAGGATCATAGGCGAAGGGAGGGAAAAATGAAACAAGACGAAACCAGAGAGGGAGACAAACCATAAGAGACTCTTAATCTCAGGAAACATACTGAGGGTTGCTGGAGTGGAAGGGAGTGGGAGGGATGGGGTGGCTGGGTGATAAGACATTGGGGAGGGTATGTGCTCTGGTGAGCGCTGTGAATTGTGTAAGACTGATGAATCACAGACCTGTACCCCTGAGACAAATAATACATTATATGTTAATTTAAAAAATAAAGTCAGGATATGGTTACTTTTGTGGGGAAGGTGGAACTTCTGGGTGGGTATACTGCCAGGGTTCTCCAGGAAACCAACAGGATATATATAGATATAAGAGGATATTAATTACAGGAATTGGCTCACATGACTGTGGAGGCCAAGAAGTCCCATAATCTGCCATGTGCAAGCTGGAGAACCAGGAAACACAATGGTGTAATCCAGTCCAAGTCTGAAGGCCTGGGAATCCTTAGCCTGATTCAACTATTAATCTCTTCCAGAGGCACCCTCACAGATATAGCCAGGAGTACTGTTTTACCAGCTATCTGGACATCCCTTAGCCCAGTCAAGTTGACACATAAAATTAGCCATCATAGCAGGTGACAAAGTTCTATTTCTTGACTTAGCAGTTTCAAGAATGTTCACTCAGAATAACTCATTGCCATATAATAATTGCTTTGTGTTGCCTTCTGTAGCTGTGTTTTATTTTATAATAATAATATTATATTATTACAATAATAATCCATCTGAAAGGACTCCGCATCCTCTGTAGGTGGAAGAAGAATCTGCTGTAAGGTCAGGAGATGGGATCAATTCCCCAACGAAAATGTCTAACCAGGAAGCAAGATGGCCCTTCCCAGGATGCTGATGAGCCACCAGCACATTCTCTGATTTTCCTCACCTTGTGGGTAAGATCACGGAGTCTTCCTGACAGAACTCTTAATTAATATAGTGAATCATTACTATTTTTATGTCAGGAGATATGCAAAAAGTACTTTAACTCAGGTCAAAAAAGCTAAAATTAATTTCACAGACACCTTTTAAATGGATTGCAAGTGGATGAGGATTGGAAAGGGGGTATATAACCTTCAAGATAAAGCGGCAGACCCAGTTCCAACCCTCACTGTCAAATCCTATTTCATCTAAAGATAGGGTCAACTCAACTAGGTGTACTGTGCTATGGTTATCTAATTCTCGATGGTTGAATGGCTTTTAAAAATTGGTAAAAAAGAAGGATTTTATCCAATTAAAAATTTTTTCCTATCACAAAAAACTTATTAGCCACTAGAATAGATTACTAAAGGAAGTTCTGCTATCTCCTTCCGATGAGAACCTAAAAAGTCATCTATTCAGAATCCCCTAGGTGTGGGTGCATATGGATATAGGTCCTACAGATGCCCACAGGTGTCTCCCAAGAAGACTGTGATTACCCAGATGTGCTGGGCATCATAGGAAAGCAGAAGAGCACTGTGGTTGAAACCACAGACATGTATCAAAAAGATTTAAATTCACATCCTAGCTTTTGTCCCTGACTAGCTCTGCGACATTGAGCAAATCAATTAACCTCTCCAAATATTTATTTCCTTAACTTGTAGAATGAGGATAGTAATCACAACTATTTCATTAAGTTGTTGTGAGAACTGAATGTAATGATGGATGTCAAGGGCAAGATCCCTGTCACTCCACAAGAGCTCACTATGTGTGGGCTATTATTATTAACATCAACATCATCATCATCGTCATTGCCAGAGGGAGGGTCTTTTGAGAAACAAAATACTTCAGACCAGTGCTTCTCAAAGTGTAGTCCCCAAAGCAGCAGCTGGTGTATCACCTGGGGACTTCTTAGAAATGCAAATCCCCCCATCCACCCCCATCTCCAACCCCAGACCTACTGAATCAGAATCTCTGGTCCAGGGTCCAGCAATCTGTGTTTTAATAAGCCCTCCAGTAATTCCAGGCACGCTAGAGTTTGAAAACCATTGATGTAGTACTATTGTTTGTTGAAGCCTCTTGCAAACTTTTGCTGGGAGAAAGCTTTAATTTTTCAAGAAGGATGCTAAAATTTTGTTTTTTTTTATTGACTGAGAACAATTAACTTGAAATCTAGCCTTGATTGTATTCTATCAGCCAGTGATGCAGAAGAGAGAATCCCTGTCTAATGCCCCACTAGGCTTTAAGTACAATGAAGGCAAGATTGTGACTTGTCATCTCTGTGTTCCCCAGCATTTTACACTGTCTGACAAGTTGTAAATACTCAATAAATATTCATTGCCTGAACAATGAATGAAGAGTTAGGAGAAAGGCTGGGGATGATTATAGCATTCAACCAGCAGATAAATTCCCATCTCAGGTCATCTAACTTAGGATTTTGTTTTAAAATGCTTGCTTTCTATAAAACTCAGGAGACATTCATTTGTTTGACTTAGTCAGCAACTTAAACATACCTTATAAAAATGTATGACTTCCAATCGAAGTTGGAAAAAAAGGATTAACAGTGATTTTAAAACCTCAAATAACTAAATTCCCAATGAAACTGAATTTGGGGCAGTACTCAGTTAGCTCGTGGGTTAAAGAGGCAACCCAAAGAAAACAAATGGACGGAAAGGATTTTTTTTTTTATTCTTATGTTAATCCCCATACATTACATCATTAGTTTTAGATGAAGTGTTCCATGATTCATTGTTTGTGCATAACACCCAGTGCTCCATGCAGAATGTGCCCTCCTCAATACCCACCACCAGGCTAACCCATCCTCCCACCCCCCTCCCCTCTAGAACCCTCAGTTTGTTTTTCAGAGTCCATCGTCTCTCATGGTTCGTCTACCCCTCCGATTTCCCCCGCTTCATTCTGGATGGAAAGGATTTTAGTTGTTGTTTTAAATGCAATTCTGAGGCTACATCCTAGAAATAAAGAGAGGGGACTTGCTTTCTCCTTCTATATATGCATACATATTACAGTAGAAGCAGAAATGATTATTTATAGCCTGAAGCATGACAAAATCTAGATTAATCAAAGGAAGGTAAATAGACTATACTGAATATAATTTATTAAGGCAGGGAATTATAAAAATTTTGTTTTAGGAAGGTTTTAATAATTCTATATTTCAATTAATCTGCTTATCTCATTAGACACACATCTGTTAAAGTTTAACAGATTTAGAAAGCAGCAATCATATTGTCAAGGTGAAACCCCACATCTTCATATAGAAAAATATCTTTTCCTTTAGGAATTAGTACATAAAACTCACAACCACAATTCCAGGAGGCATAGGAAAATTAAATGCAGTCTGGCACTCATCCACACCTATAGACTGTATAGAAAAATATTAAAGTAATAAAAAAAGTGTCAGAGGCAGTAATACCAGGATCATCCATATTTATTTTGCTTCTTGTTTTTGACCATCTATCAGTGTGAACAGCCCTCAGTAAAAATGAATGGTTTTATCAATATTCTCAGCAAAACATATTTGGTTTCATCGGTGTAAGATCTACCGCCACCAATCTTGAAAGACTGGTCCCCTGGCCCTGGGACGCCACCTTTCCTGCAGATTTGACACAGAGAATGAATGAAAAGCATGTATTATTTGGAGCCGCTCTGTACATTAGAGAAGAAGAAAAAGAAAAGTGACTGACTGACAGCAATTTCTTGGTGGCACTTGATGAAATAATGCAAAGTTAATTAATAAATTAATAGGGACATTGAATCTATCTTTTTTTACTTTTGGTTTAGGAGTAGTGGGAGACCCTCAGGTACTAAAGGCACATCATCCATTGACTTGTAAGTAGGTTAGGAAGATAAGGGATATCCCAATGAGCTTAACTTACTCTCAAGGAGAATTTACTGACTCATTCGTTCGTTCTTTCATTCATTCATTCATCTGCTCCTCTGTAATTCTGTACTTGGGTGCACCGTTAGATGTGCTTCAGTATTTAAGAAGTAGAACAACTGATTTGTCCATTTTTCTATACATTCTATTGATACCTTTTCGGTGATTATAAACCCTTCAAGGATTTCATTCTTGTAAGACATTAAGAGGATCTGTCTTCACTCTCCAATCTTTCTGAAATTAATAAAAATAGTTTTGAATGTTCTTCTTTTAAAATTTTACAATGTTTTCTCCCTTTATTTTTCTACTAACACGATTATTTAGACCCTACACCAGCGGTGTTTACAACTGTGTGATGACAGGGGGAAAAAAAAATCACAATACCTTTATTTTAAAGAGTTACATGTCTGCTGATTTTTTGTATAGTTAAGGGGAATATAAATTTCTAATGCTGGAATTAAGGAATCTGGGGGTTGAAGGATGTAAAGGATATCTAAGAAAGAACAAAATGTTTCAACTTCCACTGGCATATAATGACTCCCAAAACTCTGTCTGCAGCCCAGCCTCCTTTCTGAGATTCCGGCCAGACACAGAACTGCCTTTCTGATACTAACACTCTGATGGTATAGAGGTCTACAAGGCTTGTTTCAAAGGCTCAACATTCAAGTGCACACGTGCACAAACACACATACTCGCACACACACACACCCTTGGCATTTGCCATCATGAACACAAAATAGCCTTTTAAAAGTGGGTCTTAAAAAAAAAAAAAAAAGTGGGTCTTTATGTGGGAATGAGCCAGGTTCTCAGTCTAGAGATAGACTCAAGAGATGTCTCAGCATGTGTTTTCTTTCATGCCTGCTTCTAATGCCAACCAAAGCTGCAAATAGCAGCTGACAATTCCAGACCCTCCCAAACGCCTGCAGTGCAATTAGGACCGTCCTCACCACCCTCCCCCCTTGATGGCAATTATATGACATGCTTAGAGGAACTGATGAATAAACAAACAGAGGTCTTTTTGAGGAGCCTGATTTAATAATTCTGCAGAGACTACACACTTGACCCAAACAATAAAACTGGTGGTGGATAACTTTAGAGTTACTCCCTATAAGCTCACCAGGGTCTGGGATGAACTTCAGACAATCCACAGTTAGGCAAAGATGACAAAAAGATTACAGTACAGAGACTGACAGATTGCTGATGCTGGCATGCGCTGGGACCTCTCTTTGATGTATGCAAGGTATTCCTGCTGTAACAAGGGTCTTTTCAGTTACACATAATAAATCCCCTCTTGTTTAAACAACTAGGCTTAGGTGATCAACATCGTTCCTTTTATTTTAGTGAACTATAAGATAAAAAATGAACTCACATGGCCTGGAGGGAGGGAATAAGTCAGGCCTAATAAAAACCCTTTATTAAGTCACAGTGGTTATACATGTTCCATAGGCACCTGAGACTTACTGTGGCCAAACTCATTTATCATCTTCCTTCTAAAACACCCTGTTCCTCTTCCTATTGCCATGTCTCCATGACTGGTACCATCTGTCCAACCACATCCAGATACCATGTCCTACCATTTCTAAATCCTATTTGGATTCACCACCCTGAGTTGTTACATCAGAGAGAGGAGTTCAAAGTGGGCATTTAGTAGGTGAGGCAAGTTGAAAGATGGAATGGACTACCATGGAGGGGGCAGGTGAAATCAGAAAGCAGGTGGTCATGACCTTCAAAGAGTCCTGGGTAGGGGGTTAGAGGCACAGTCACCCTGGATGAATTCTGAAGACAAAATGTATATGCTTGTTGGCCCCTAATCTGCTTCCAACATTCTCATATGTGGGCAGGCCAAGATTATTCAGATGGTTCAGACAGGGAGGAAGAGCAGCAAGTTGAGGTGGTTCATGTTTAAAACCCACAATTTTCACTGCACAGTAATAGGTAAGTTCATCTGCTGAGAGAGAAAGAGACAGGGATGTGTAAGGGAGTCTCTAGAACTGTAGAGGTCTGAAAGAGTCTCTGTGGGAATGGAGAGGGAATTGGCCAGGGACACACACCCAAGCAGCCCTGAGGACCTCCCTAAAGCTGGAGACCACTAACTTGTAGTGCCATTATATCCAGGTGTGTGGTTTTCTTCAGTGTTGCGGAACAGTTTCAGGAGTAGAGGAAGCAGATTGCAGGAGTGATACAAACTTTACCATTAACAAAGCAGGTGTGATAGTTACACAACAAGGTAAGGGAGTAAGGGAGAAGCCAATAGACACATTCATGGTTAGAGAAGACAGGAAGGTGTGATGGTTACTTTTATGTTTTAACTTGGTTGGGCTGTGGCACCCAGATATTTAGATAAACATCATTCTGGATGTTTCTGTGAGAGGGTTTTTAAAGGGTTGGTTCCCCTTTATCCACAACCTCTCCAACACTTGTTGTTTCTTTCCCTGTCCATTTTGGCCATTCTAACTGGTGTAAGGTGGTATCTCAGTGTGGTTTTGATTTGGATTGCCCT